CGTTAGAAGTCTTCAAGTCGTGGCTCAGACAAACGTTTGAACCGCCTAGAGCTGAGTTCAGAGCTCGAACTGAACTCCTGAAACTCAAACAAGGTAAGCGTGATGTGCACGCTTACGCACAACATATACGACATCTCACGATTTGTATAAGTTCCAACCCGGTGGATGAACACACGTTGGTTTCGGTGTTCATGCAGGGTCTTGCGGATGGTCCCATCAAGACTCACCTGTTCCGACTTGAACTAGATTCACTAGAACAAGCCATTTCCATTGCGGATCAGGAAGACTTCATTCTGAGACAGGCTCGCGCCAGCTCGACATCATATCGTCAACCGAGACGATATGACAACGGAGGTCCAGAGCCGATGGAACTCTGTTATGTAGAGAGCGAGAGAGCTCGCTCTACAGACTACAAGAAGTTGCAGAAATGCAACAGATGTCAAAAGACAGGACACTACGCTTACGAGTTTTGTGCCCCTCGTCCAGTGTCTCGCAACACTGGGCGTAGTGACCGTCCACCCATGAAAAAGGGGCAGGGACGCGGGTCCACTGTTGGTGCGAAGACGCAACAACGGGATGGACCGTCAAAAAATGGACAGGATCAGTAGGTGCGGAGCACCCTACTGGTCCAGCAACTTCAAGAGAATTTGTAGGCCTCTTGATGAAGGTTGCTCCCAACACACAAACGTTGTGCGTTGCTGCTCTAGGTAATGAGATCTCACTCATTACCGTGAAACTCGAAGTGACGAATAAGTTGTCCCTTCGAGCTCTAGTCGATTGTGGGGCGTCCAACAATTTTGTGCGACGCCAATCGCTAGAAGATGGTCACTTTAAGTTCAGTGAATGTGACACACCTCCTACGAGGATGACGGTACGTCTTGCGACAGGCGCATCCGTAACCGGCATGAAGCGTATAGTGAAGATCCACTATACGCTAGAAGATACTTGATATGACGATGACGTTATCGTATTGGAATTGGATGACAAATTTGATGTCATCCTTGGAATACCGTGGCTCAGAAGGTACGAACCACGGGTAAACTGGCAACATCGAACAGTAACGATGCCTACCGCTTGTTCATCAGATGGCCATCTGATGAACGTTTTGGAGCGTCCACAAGCGTGTGGATGTACTACGAGTGAGTGCGATGGCCTCACTTGTGGTAAGGTCGTTAGTACGACTGCACAAAACCTTAATGTACCAAACGGCTACACTTCGGAGCAAAGTTCCGGCGGCTGTGAGGAAAAACAGGCTGCGCCGAAGGTACACCACTCGAATAAGTCGAGTGGACCGGGACAAAGATGTATCCCTAGCGAGGAACATCTAGAAGAGAAACAATCGATCGCTCAGGTTGAGCGAAACGATTATCCTAGATCGACTGGAGAGTCTTTCGTAGAGGATCTCGCTGTGGTTGCGCAACCCCAGCTAGAGGAAGTTAAGGATAAGTCTTGATATTACAAATACGGCGGAAATAAGTTCCCCGAAACCCGCGGGAATAAGTCCCCGGGAAGCCGAAGGAATAAGTCCTTCGAGGCCTGAGGGAATAAGTCCCCAGGAAATGACAGAGACATTGAATGTCATAGTCAATAACGGATCAAGTGTAGGCGCTTATACACTTGATCTGATTGCGCCTCCGAAGTTGACTTCGGAGATCACTCAGTTGCCAACGCTCGAACATAAAAGGTCCTTGCGTGATCTGCGTAGTGGCAAAGTCACGCAGATCTGCGTACTCGTCGCTGACGACGAGTGTGTAGCCGACATAAGGTCAGCAACAGTGTTTACTGAGAACGAGAGAGTTCTCAGTAGTTCATCTATGGACGAGAGTGTCCTAGATGAAAAGAAAGGAGTTGAGCGATATGACTTTCAATCGTGGGAATCGCTCAAGACAAATCCTCTCTATGAAGATTTGGTTGAATTCAAGGATGTATTCCCTGAAACTGTTCCGTGCGAATTACCGAAGGATAAAGGTACTCGACACGAGGTCGATCTTAAACCAGGCTCGAAGTACTGTGTCATGAAGCAGTGGCCACTACCTCGTGAACAAGTACTTGCTATCGACAAGTTCTTTGCCGGTCGTTTAGCTGCAGGCCATGTAAGGGAATCAACTTCCCCACATAGCTCTCCGACCTTATGTGTGCGAAAAGCAACAGGAGGGTGGCGGATAGTGCATGCATTTAACAAGTTGAATGCTGCAACGGTACCGTCTCAGACGCCGATACCAAGGAAGGACGTAATCATTGATGGTATGTCAAAGAGTCCCATCTTTTCGTTCATGGATTTGATGGATGGCTTCTATCAAATCCTCATGCGAGAACGGGATATACCCTATACCGCAGTTAGCACGCCTAGCGGCATGCTCTGGGAATGGCTAGTAATGCCACAAGGGCTTAGTAATGCCCCTGCCACGTTCAACAGATGTGTATCACATCTGTTGAGACCAGTGCGAGAATTCACGCCGAGTTATTTCGATGACGTATTCATCCATAGTCGAGCTATGGATGGAAAGTCGGACGTTGAGGTTCGCAGGTACCACGTCCGACAGGTTCTTACAATCATGCGAAAGCATCAATTGTATGCCAACCTCAAGAAGTGTATATTTGCAGCAAGCGAAATACCACTTCTTGGGTGCATCGTTGGTAAGAACGGTGTACGTCCTGATCCCGAAAAGATCAAGGCGATCACCGACTGGCCTGTGCCGGTTGATGTCAAAGGTCGTCAAAAGTTCCTTGGGCTAGCGGCGTATTTGCATAAGTATTCACGCAATTACGCCAAGATGACTGTGAACCTCTCTCGTTTGTTGAAAATGAACGAGAGGTGGTTATAGAACGCTGAATGTCAGCGCTCCTTTGATGGTACCAAGCAGTGCTTGATACAATCCCCAGTCCTAGCAATAGCCGATCAGGACAGGCCATTTCATGTGGTCTGTGATGCCAGCGATTTCGCAATCGGCTGTGCATTAATGCAGTACGACCTAGAAGGCGTTGAACGCGTCGTCTGCTATCAGTCGCGTCAGCTGCAACCAGCTGAGCGGAACTATCCAGTGCATGACAAGGAACTCCTTGCCATGAAGTATGCACTCGCGAAGTTCAGAGTCTATCTATTAGGAGATAGACCCTTCATTGTTTACACTGACCATGCGTCATTACGCACGGCAGTAAACAGCCCGCAACTTTCACAACGAATGGCGCGGTGGTTGTCATTCTTTGCGGAATACAACTTTACGTTCGAGTTCAAACCAGGACGACTTAATGTCGTCGCTGATGCACTCTCAAGTCATCCCGACTTTGAAACAGTCGTGAAACCCAACAGTGAGACAGCCAGTGTTGCAAATATAACGTCCTCAGTCCCATCTACAACGTTGTATGATGATGTGAGGCGGGCATACGCCCAAGATGGTGAGATTGTGAAGTTGTTGACACATCTCTCCCAACCATCTCGAGAATCGTTGAAACGATTGTCGTCTGCGTATCAATCTGCATCAGATCGATACACTACTCGCAACGGTTTACTGTATTTTACAGCCGTTTCGGGTGACACACCACGTGTTGTCATTCCAGATGACACTGATCTGCGTTTGCGGATCATGTTCGAGTACCACGATGCTCCTATAGGAGGACATCGTGGCCGGGAGAAAACATATCTCACGGTGAGTCGAGACTTTTACTGGCCCCGCCAGTATCAGTTTATGCGAAAGTACGTTCGCGCATGCGAAGTCTGTCAGCGAGTGAAGTCAAGTCCTTCACTGCGTGCACCTTTACAGCCTCTACCGGTTCCGGCTGAGTGCTGGGAATCCATCTCAATGGATTTCGTCTTTGGGTTACCCAAAGACGCACGCGGGAATACGGGTATTCCCGTATTTGTTGACAGATTCAGCAAAATGGTACACCTTGTGGCTGTACCAGAGTCAATCACGGCAAGTGGCTGTGTTTGTGTCTTTATTGACACCATCTTTCTACTTCATGGGTTGCCCCGTGAACTCGTATCAGACAGAGATCCACGCTTCACTGCTGATTTCTGGCGTTCCGTGTTCAAATCACTCGGAACGCGCTTGAAGATGTCGACATCTGATCATCCAGAGCCAGATGGTCAGACGGAACGTGCCAATCGTGTCCTCGAAGAGATACTTCGAGGATACGTATACTCTTTTAAGAGTTGGAGTGAGTTTTTGCCAATGGTAGAGTTTGCCATTAACAACTCGGTGCATGCGTCCACGACACATACACCGTTTTACGTGAATGGCTTGCGCTATCCGCGTGTACCCACCTTACTAGAGTGTAACTCTGGTTTAAGGGGGGAGGGACTCGCGCGAGCAAAAACCGATTTGGTTCAAGCTCATCACGCTCTGACGAAGAGGTCATTGCATTTGATGCCAATATCGATAACATCGATATAGAAGAAGATGATGCCAGTGAGAGTGCGGAAGCCCTCACTGAAGAAAAGGTTGATGTTGCTGTAGTGCACTCACAGCGCACTGAAGCTAACGAGTCATCAGATGAGTTCATACTGGCTCGTGAAACGGTAGTCCGTTTTGTGCAAGACTCCATCGCCGAAGCGGTGGATAAGCAAAAGCAAAACGCAGACAAGAATGGAAGGGCAAACACTCTTTTATTTAATAAAGGTGACTTAGTCCTACTGTATACGTTTAATCTACCAAAGCATGTAGCGACTAACTTGGGTAGCAGTAAACTACTACCCAAGTACATCGGCCCATTTCGTGTATTGCACCGCCTAGGCAATGCATACACGATCGAGTTGCCACGTAAGATGCGAACGCATCCCACGTTTTACGTTGGTCGGCTTAAGCCGTACCATCAGTACGCTGCTTCTTCCGATGAAGAACGCTCTTGCGCTCAAGCATCTCGCAGAGAGCCTTGTGCTCCTGATGGTGGGCATCGACAAGGGTCTGAAGATCAGTTATCTCATCCCGAGACTGATCAACAATCCCACGAGCTACCCTTAGCTCGTCACGAAGAGATGTCAGAGCTCACTCGTTCTCAATCTAAGCAAAGGCAAACTCAGCTCGATGCTTCAAGACAGTGTCCGCCATTTGGAGACGCCTGTCCCGCTCATGTTCGAGATCGTTGCGTAAACCTTGCGTTACGCGATCAAAGAAGCTCTCGGGAACACACGGATCCCCACGATCGTGTGGAGAGCGTCTTTCCTCCTCCTCCACCTCCACTAGAGGACTCTCGCGGTGGCCAGCGCTATCTAGTTGAGCAGCTGTTGAACCACCGCGACGTGAACGGACGTCGGACGAGTTATCTCGTCCGGTGGCGCGGCTATCCCCCGTCCTGGGATACTTGGGAGCCCCGCTTCCAACTGATGATTGACGTACTGTGTCTGGTTGGGCAGTACGACTCGGCACATCCTGTGCCGCAGAAGGACCGCTGGAGAAAGTCTTCCCGGCACGGTCGTAAAGGGATTTCAGGTTGTCAATCCCTTCGTACATCTCACTAGAGATACGTACGCGCCACCACGGGCTAGTAAGGAGGTAAGCATCCTTAGGTGCTCGTGCAGAGTTGTTCACACAACATGGGCACGAGTCTCCCCAAGAGAGGCAGGGTAATCCTTTCTCCCTTGACAGACGATGCAGCTTGTAGCGTGCACCTGTCAGGGTTCGCTTTTCAAACTTATCACGAGCTTTGATAAGTTTGTCGTTCCAAGCGTCACGACCTACATCCTCAAGGTTATGGATGTAGGCGTTTCACGCTTGAAGTAGTGAGGGACCATCACGCTTGTGATTCCCACTGTACCATCGATGTCTAAAGAAAGCATATATGAAGAATTCATGTTCAGCGCGATAGTTTTTCGCACTGGGGTCAAGGTGATGGATCTTTGACGAATCGAACAACCGTGTTCGATAACGATCACTCGTCGTCGCTGACAAGTGATCCATGACAGATTTAGGAGGCATCCATGCCTTCTTCTCAGGAGCGAGACGCAACACATTGCGGTCCCGCTCTTCCTGCGACGTGCCGACAGAAGGACTGGCACCTCGTTGCGAAGTGGTGTCCATAGGAGAACCGACACCACTGTTAGCGCCCGAGTCTCGCGACCTCGAGAGCCTTCGCTTCGGCGATGGTTCATCTGATTCATCAGATAAACCAAAGATGCTACGACGCATAGCATATTCCATGCCACGCTTGGCAGGCGGCTTGGATTCGATCGCCGTCGATACGGATCCGTCTTCCGTATCAGGAGAGTATGAGACACCGAGCTCATGCTCTGTGAAGACATGAGTGTCTTCATGACCAGCGCCTGCATCACCAAGTGACACAGGCTGAGTCGCTTCAGCAACCGATGAGACATCAGTTGCTGCAGTTTCTGCTTCGGCGTCCGCACAGAGACGTGCGGACGCGCTCTCGGCGGCCTTGCTCGCGCACCGCATGGGCTTGTTCACCATGCGATGAATTGTTGGAAAGTGGACTCGGACCAACAAGTGCAAACCCCGTCCCAAATTATTTAAAACGAGTATCCATTTAGTCAATCAGTTACTAAAGTGACTGATGGTTAAGGGGGGGGGTGATGTAACGAAGTGAATCGTTACATAACAATTTATAAGAAATTGTTAATAGAATATAACTGTAAGAGTTATATTCTCAGAATATTGTCATAAGGACAAATATTCTGTAGCACTTAAGAGTAGTTCTTAATTGGTCGATACAGGCCATTATATCAACCAACGAAGACGCGCCACGACAGACGCACGCAATGAGTGGTGAGCAGATATTTGATTTACACATTTGTATTTAGACATAGTTAGATGAAGATAAATAGTGATTTATTGCAGACATTAACTATACTAAATACAGTTCTACTTTTTACTCTAACCAAGTACTCGCTTCTTCTTACCGTCTTCCTCTGCACGTACGAGTGTACGTGAAGTGACGAGGCACCGCCTTATTCTGTCATCAGAATAAGTAGCTTGTATTGTTACCAGTACAAGCTTCAGGGTGCCCCGTTACAATCTCCTTGGTAGCGTCACCGCGTGCTTAAGCCTCGACTAGTTTGCTTAGCAGAATCTCCACGGGTTAGACTGGGTAAGCCTATCCCGTGGAGATCTCTTCGACGCGAGCTACGGGATAGACGTACCAAGCCTATCCCGAGCCATAACATCAGAAATCAGCAACACCCCTTCTATGTTTAGATGGTGATACACATTTATTGTCACTTTCAGTAGTCCAGGCGTGGTACAGGAAAGAACTTATGGGGACAAGGAGTTCCAGTCATCTATCCACACAAGCTGTAAGATCCTCTCGTTCCTCCGTCAAAGTTCTGATGAATATATCATAGTGCGGATACTCCCGCGCAGAGATCTCTAGCAGTCGCTTCTTCTTCCACTGACAAGTGCTTCCTCTTCATCCTATTTTGCACGCACTGCTAGCCATTGTGCTGCTTCTCCTGGTGTCCATGCTGTAGGCGGCGCCCCACCCGCACTTAGGGTAATGAGTCGGGTCCACCTCGTATTCCTGTTCGTATCTTGTTTAACTCCGCATCGGGTTGCCGCTGTCGCGAGCTCAGAAGAACTCGGCGAGGCTGAGGCTAACATGAGTGATGGATCACCCGGTAAGTCAGACGGACGGTGGAGGCCGTCTGTAGAGGAGCCTTCACCGCCACTCATTTCGCACTTGAAAATTGTAGCGCTCGAGTCTAAATGAGCCCATTTCCAATCGCTGTTTCTTGAAGCGTCCAAATGAAAAATGTGCGTTCGAATACCGTAAAGTCGCTACCACCACGACTAAGAAAGGCCCAATGAGAGTACGTCCTCAGCAGCACCAATTTTAAATCTTGTGGAACAAATCGGTTGCTAAAGGTTGCTATCACACACATTGCGGTAAAGACTTCATTTTTACCTTGCTTATCATTCTTTGGGTTCATAGCTGTCACAATGCGCAGGTGAGTATCGATGTCTTGTATCGGTACAAATACAAATGAGGAATGTTACTCAACACACCTGTTTCCCACCGAGCAACTTTGGGTTTGAGGAGTAAATAGCTCGAAGGGGACAACCCTTTCTGCTAGACCTAGACTGTACAGCATACACCAACATGTGTACGCAAGCTGCAACTGTACTATCCGTGACGGTGCATCTCAGCATCATACTGAGTCACAATATAATCAGGGACACGACATCTTGAACCGGGGACACAACATCTTGTACTTCGTAACACTCCAACTTCGTTGTCTCTGATGTCTGATGTCTTGCGTTGCTGCTATTTCAACGTAGTAGGCGCTGGTGTAGTATTTTACAGCTGCCGTAGCTTCTTAAATTACGTAGATCTAAGAGGATTGGTGGTTAAGATGTCTGCCAGCATCTCATTCGATATACAATGTGCCAATCAAACTCGTCTTTTCCACATAATCTCATATCGTGTGGTACTTGAGATTGAGGCGCTTCGCTTTGTAGTCCCCTGTGTTCGCTTCTATCATCTATTGTCGCTTGATTAGCTTCATATAATATCATTCTTTTGCGAATCACCCAATCTCCTTAAATTTATTGTGCATCCACGTTATCATCGTGCTGCATTCAACCGTAGCCACGAACTCTGAAAGCACGTATCATCTGTAATCAATCGTTGTTTGTGACTTGTATATGCCTAAGTGCAGCCTTCCATTGCAATACAAATCCGGTCACAAGCCGTCGATCATCTCTTTCATTCTCCAAATCAGCATCCGCTTACGCTACAATCTGCATGTCTGATTTAGGCCATGATGCATTCAGATGCACCTCCTTCTACAAATTATATTGTAATACAATGTCCAAAGTAGTCCGTACTCTGTCTTCCTCTCAAATTCAGGACCACTTCTTAGTCAACACATAGTGGTTGCATGCATAACGACCGAGAAATTTTCACAAAGTTCGCACCGCGTTGGCAATATGTGGACGCTTGCATTGGACTCAGTATTGCAACGATTCCACAATTGTCGATAATCCACATGTGGATCTGGGTTTACACACACCGGTTCCGCATCCGGATTTTCAGGCATTGTAAAGTTGCCTTGTACTTGTAGCGTAGGAACTGGGGTACGATTTGTCATTTCGACCTGCGCCAAAACCTTTTAGACGTAGCAGTTCTGTTGAATTGACAGACTACATTCTGACATGCTTGATATTTCCATTTCAAGCGAGTGCGTCACAGGACCCAAGGCTCTATTTTTAAACTTGCTCCAAAGCTTTGGTAACCGCATCAATTTTGAACTCAGTTCCTACAATTAAGCGATCATCCGCGTACGTGGGAGTGTGCACCTTGTCCTTTCCCACTTTTTGCACATATACACCTGCATCCATCTTTGTGCGACAAAAACCACAATTTTATAGATACTTGTCCAGCATTTTACACCAAATGCGAGCCAACCAGCACCATTATCGAAGTAATGGGCCTGTTTCATGTAAATTCAGCATCATCTAGAGGTCCATTAAGACATGCTGTCACAGTATCAATTTGGTGGCATAGCAGGCCGAAGTAAGGAGCTCAGAGCAAGACAAATTCACCGACTCAGACTTCTCTACAGGAGCGTAGGTCTCCCAAAACTTGATACCAAGCATTTACTGACATTCCTTTTATCGTAATTCGCGTGCGACATTGGCGCACTTTACCTTTCGCGTTTCGTTTTCGCTCAAAGACCCACCTATTCTTAAAAAATCTTTAGTCCATAAGGCCGACATACTAGCTCTAATACTCGATCTCTCATCAGCTTTTGATATTCAGTCTCAAGAGCTTTACCCATTGCTTTGCATCAGGGGCAGTCAAAGCCTCTGTATTGATATTTGATCAAGAATTATTTTGACCACCTGAATCACTAGAACTGCAAAAATTTTCAGTCTATAACGTCTATAACGACAGCCGTACAGGTGGTCGTATTTCTCGAGCAGAACGCCGAGAAGATGGCTCAGGGGAATTTCCAGCTTCAAAATCGACTGTTCTATCCACTTCGACTGTGCTATCTTCTCCCACCAAGCAGGTAAGATTTGTCAATGACGTGCCTTTAGTGTTGAAAGCATCACCAGGTGTTGGAGTCGTATCACGGTAGCTCATTTCTAGGAAATTATCTCCATCACTAAGTGCTTAAAGGCTAGTCCAAGGTCAAGAAGATCTGCAAGCTGACAAATCTCTATTTCCACGACAAGGTACAGGCATACCGCGGTGAGACGGGTCCATGCCATTCCCTCGGCCGCTTCCTCCATCCGTGACGAGGCGATTGCGCTCTAGAGTGTATTCAAGTATGCCACGATCACGACACGACCCCATATCATCCTGTCCTGGACTTGCCACTTGTGACCGTGACGATCGAGCACTAGTCTTTGCGAATCAGATTAGATTCTCGCTCAACAACTCGCTTTTGGGCTCTTCAGTCAACGCTGGCTCGTCAACTTTTGTAGCACTATCTACAGAATCTGAACCATGGCTCCCAAATCCATTACTACAAAACCTCTTATCACGATGCTCTATGTCATCAGGCGTACCAATAGTCATTGTAGCCCCCGGTGCAGTCAAAATTCCCATGCAAACATACGGGATCGTGGAAGGTAGAGTGAACTTACCGCTACGATATCGATTGTACAGCAACTTTTCGATACATTTGGTCTCAATTTTTCGATACTTAACGGACTCTAATCTTCGTAACTCTTGAAATGGCACCCAAACGCGCATCCAGAATGCAATAGCTAATTGAACTCTTCGCGTAGCCAACAAGTATCGCCGGCTTGCTGGGATTTTCTAATTTAGTATTCCTCAAAATATTATGTGTGAAAACGAACATTAAACAACCCCATGTCCAGACACACGATAGATCAGGATGTCTACCAAAAAGTTGAGTATAAGGTGCTTCGCCGTCCAAGCCTTCACTGGGAATGATAGCTGAAGTCTCCAAGGAAACTATAAATGCCTCTCCCCACAACAGTTACGGCATGTCCACATTTGTTGAGCAAGCTGCGTTCACGGTACATTACGATGCCGTTCATCCGCTCAACAAAGCCATTCTCTTCAGGAATATGCGCATTCGTCAGAAATTCCACCTTGTTTGGTGAAGGAACTGTTTAAATTGTCGGTTAGCAAGTTCCCTTACTTGGTCAGCACAAAACACTTGGATGTGATGGTCTTGTACGGTAATCTATGCCACATAGAATTACTACAGCGTTATCTTCTCCATTTTATCTCGAGTAAAAAGCCCCACACATAACATGTGACCTAATCTTGGATGAGCTGGAAGTGTTGATACCCGTTGTAGGAAACCACATCAATGTAGCACACATCAGACGTCATCTTCTAAAATATTACTGTAGTCACTACTTTCTTGTAGGACATTCGTCACATACGTGACTGTATACATATTCAGCATAACTTAATCGGTGCACTCACGTCACTTATCAGCTCCAAACCATGCATTGTATGTTTCCTTATC